CAAGCTTCTTTTGTCCATGGTGTCTGTTACAGCACACTTTCCACTCATTGAATTCAAAGCAATGGAGAGTAACGAGCAGGTGAACAAAGCCCCTGGTACAGCCGATAACACTAGCGAAGCTGGAAAGGTTAGTTGACTACACAGTCCTCAAACTTGTTATATTCTGATTTTTTTATACCCTAATGAGGTTCTACTTCCTACAAGCAAACATATCGGGGCAGCACATTTGGTTGTCATTACTGCTATTCGTCATTACAGGGTGAGAAAACTCGTCGACGTTCCGTAAGAGGTCGTAGATCCTCTATAAGGGTAGAAGTAGAAGGCTCGTCACCAGTTGTTGTTGCTGCACCTCTATCAGAGTCAATCATGCAGAATACAGTTGTTGATAAAGTTGGTTTCTTCATAGTTGGACTTGCCTTTATTCACAACCGCCATCTCTAAACTACCTCACTCATGGTGTCCTGAAAATTACCCTTTGAGGTAGCCCTGCTCGCCCAAAGGAGAGATCAAATCATCGGTTATACCGAACGCTTACGATCTGAAAAGGAAGAATGGAATCAGTTACTAGAGAGGCAGCGCATGAAAACGCAACAAGCAAATAGGTCAGGAAAATGTTTTTTGTTTTCTCAGTAGCTTTGGTGTAGGTATGTGATTTTGCTTTTTGACCTCCAGGCTTTTAGTGAAACTGCATTTTCATAATTGTTTAAATTAAACTCTTATAGTAAGGTTGATCGTCCTTATGAACGTAAATCTTCTGCTCGTGTACCTATCGAGAACCTTGGTCAAAACGAAAGCATGCAGAAGCCTCGATATGTCTTGAACCGCGTTCTCCGTGCTTTCAACAAGCAGAATGAAGGCTTCCAAAACGTAATGATTATCATTTTTCGCCGTGCGAAAGGCGGTAACGTCAAGCTCAGAGCATCCCTTTCACAAAGCTCATTGTTACAAAAACTTTCAGCAAAAAGCTGTGGACGAACTCCGGGCTGAATGCGAGTCGATTTCCTCTTCTATTGATGTTCTGGTAAGTAAGCATATTCCTACACTTCTTTTTAAACTTTTTGAATGGCCAGATTCTTTAATGCAATCCCTTTCATGATTTTGGAAAGGGAGTGAGTAGCTTCATCAGTTTCACCTATTTAACTGTTGTTTATCTTCGCAGTCATGAAGGTCGGTGATAGGCATCAAGGTCCCGAACTAACAAGGGAAGGATCCCGAGTCGAAGTGGCCACTTGAAATGAGACCTACACTGCTAGACGTATTTTTTGATGCTGATTTCAAATCTGCATTCAAAATCTGCCAAACGATTCTCTGAACGAAGTTATGGAAGTGGTCTCCGGAGAGCGCTCAACAGGAGAAAGCACAAAAACCATGGTCGCCGACAGTCCAGCAGTGGCAGCTTGGAGTGGAGGTAAGCGTGGCGCTTTATAAGCACGGTACCAAGGATCGGGTCTGGTGGACGGCGGCGTTTTTGCATCTTGCAGGACTTTTTTCTCCAAGTTGGAAAAATCTTCTTATGTTAGTATTACTGCCTTTAGCAACTTTTTAGGCTGGAGGCGAGTCAGTTCCTAATTAAACCGTCTGACATCCACTCCAACCACCAACATTACAAAAATTCCGTGTTTAAAACAAAAAAGTCTTTCACAATGAGCGTCAACCGACAGCGACCAAACATCAACGACCCTCTAGATGTGCTTGCTGTTTCCTCTTCAGCATCCGGTTCCCACATTGGATCGGCCTCCTCGTCCTCAATCACGCAGTCTCAATATCGAGGTCTTCGTTAAATGATTCCGCAAGGTAGAGGAGAAACTATCTATCAACTTGTGCTCCTTCCTTGTAAGGGCGCGTTCAACATCACAGGATCCGAAATACTTCTTGTTCTTTAGTGTTACATCCATGGGCCCGGGAACTTCTTCCCTAACACGGCATCGCACACGTCGCACCCGCCGCCTATCGCAGGATTGCGATGGAAATTTGGAGCGCG